CTAACTAAAATTTAAATAAAAATGGAAAATATTTCTCATTTTTATTCAGTTAACCTGATGTACTAAAGTCACTAAAACTGAAATAAAAATCAATTAAATTTTTTTACAAATTAAAATATTAATAAAAAATGGTATACATGACAAAAACACAAAAATACTAAAACTAACTAAAATTTTAATAAAAATGGAAAATATTTATCATTTTTATTCAGTTAACCTGATGTACTAAACTCACTAAAACTGAAATAAAAATAAATTTTTTTTTTTTTTACAAATTAAAATATTAATAAAAAATGGTATACATGACAAAAACACAAAAATACTAAAACTAACTAAAATTTTAATAAAAATGGAAAATATTTCTAATTTTTATTCAGTTAACCTGATGTACTAAACTCACTAAAACTGAAATAAAAATCAATAATTTTTTTTCCAAATTTAAATATTAATAAAAAATTATATGACAAAAACACAAAAATACTAAAACTAACTAAAATTTAAATAAACATTTTAAATATTTCTAATTTTTATTCAGTTAACTTGATGTACTAAACGCACTAAAACTGAAATAAAAATCAATAAACATTAATAAAAAATTACAATATAAATAAAAAATTTTATAAATGACAAACACAAAAATACTAAAACTAACTAAAATTTAAATAAAAATGGAAAATATTTCTCATTTTTATTCAGTTAACCTGATGTACTAAACTCACGAAAACTGAAATAAAAATCAATTAAAATTTTTTACAAATTAAAATATTTATAAAAAATTGTATAAATCACAAAAATACTAAAACTAACTAAAATTTAAATAAAAATGGAAAATATTTATCATTTTTATTCAGTTAACCTGATGTACTAAACTCACTAAAACTGAAATAAAAATCAATTAATTTTTTTTACAAATTAAAATATTAATAAAAAATTGTATAAATGACAAAAACACAAAAATACTAAAACTAACTAAAATTTAAATAAAAATGGAAAATATTTATCATTTTTATTCAGTTAACTTGATGTACTAAACTCACTAAAACTGAAATAAAAATCAATAAACATTAATAAAAAATTACAATATAAATAAATTTTTTTTATAAATTACAAAAACACAAAAATACTAAAACTAATTAAAATTTAAATAAAAATGGAAAATATTTTTCATTTTGATTTAGTTTAACTTGATATACTAAACTCACTAAAACTGAAATAAAAATCAATATTTTTTTTAATAAAAATTAAAATATTAATAAAGATGGTAAATGGCAAAAACACAATACTAAAACAAAAACTTTAATAAAAATAAATAAATAAAAACTATAATAGTATCTCAATACTAAAAGAACTCTGGTTAAGCACTAATATTTCCTAGGAAATGAGCAGAGTGAATGTGATTAGAAATCTGTGTGGCTTGGCAAAGCTACCGAGCTTGGCAGATGTTTAAAAATCTCTTTAACTCTAAATATTTGCTCTTTAAATATAAAGCTTTAGACAAAAGGCATGGAGACTTAACTCGCTCAATTAAATAAAAGAGTAAAAAAACAAGACCTATGAGACCTTGGTTACAACAACAAGATGTAATTGTGGGCTTATACTGAAGGACTGCAGAAGGGAAACTGTAATACGCAGTGCTGCTGAGAGAGCTAAACATCAAGGTAACTCGCATAATAATTTGTAATCCTTGAATATGAAAGAGAGGGTGAGTGGGATGGGCCCGTCCTCCTGAGGGTCAGTCGCTCTCATACTCAGGGACAGTGAGAAGGAGGGCGACCCGAGAGATCAGAGGTCACACGCAAGGAGAAACTTATGCTGAGGCCTGAAAGAGGCTTGCATGCACAAAAAACAGGGATATACAAATGCAAATGTGGCCTTAACACCCACTCTTACACTATTTAGAATAACAGTGAAGTCCTCAAACTCTACATTTACACTCTCAGAAAAAAGGTACAAAACCTGTCACTGGGGCGGTTTTTCAAAAGGTGCTAATATGTACTTTTGAAGTACTAATATGTACCTTTAGGGTGAATAAGGTGCAAAAGTCTACCTTTTGAGAAGGAACCACCCCAATGACAGCTTTATTTCTGAGAGTGAAGTATGGGAATCATCATGTGATCATGTTATTTTAGTATCAGTGATATACTGTTATAATTCATTATAATGTCATATTTTGAATTTCATTTGATTTTATATTATCCATTTTCTTTTAAGTTAAAGGTTTAGTAATTTTGTTGTGTTTTTGACCTTTTTATATTACCTTTTTATTCATATATTTTTTAAACGTTTTTTATTAAGTTTTAGTTATTTCAACCTACAAAACAAAAACTACAAAACTAAACAAAAATGAGAAATGTTGCCTTGACAACTAAGTGAAATAAGTTTCATTTTTGTATTTTATTTTTAGTTAACATTTATTTTATTTCAAGTCATTTTTATATAGTTTTGGTTTATTTAATTTTTGTTATTTTATCATTTCAACTTAAACTAAACAAAAACGAGAAACTCTGCTTTGGCAAATAAATGAGATAAAATAAGTTTAACTTTTTTACATTTTATTTTCAGTTAACTTTCATTTTATTTTAAGTTACAACTTTTTACTTTTAGTTTATTTTAGTTAATCTAGCACTTCAATTTAAACTAAACAAAAATGAGAAATGTTGCTTTGGCAAATAACTGAAATAAAATAAGTTTAACATTTTGTACATTTTATTTTCAGTTAAATTAATTACATTTATTTTCTTTTTTTTTTTAGTTCATGTTTTAAGTAACAATTTATTATTATTATTTTTTTGTAGTTTTAGGTTTTTAGTTTTAGTTATTTTAGCACTTCAACATAAACTACACTCTTTTCTTTCACCTGCTTCAACTTCTGCATTAAAAAGCATTATTTTCTAAAGAAATATATGCCTACAAAACATATTTCAAGCATTTAAGCATAATCATTTACATTAGAAAGTTTTTATGACCATGAAAAACCAATTCAGTCAATTGTGTTTAGACTTTTGAGTGCTAGTGTTTACCATTTTAAGAGCCCAGAAACCTGTGCAAAACTGTCTTATCGGAGAAATAATCTTTTTATTATTTTGGTAATTGCACTGGCTGTCATGGCAAATATAGGGTTAGAGTAAACTTCAAAGAAAACTGTTTTTTTTTTCACAAATCTGTGTTAATATCATCCAGTCAAGGGAATAACAACCCAAATATAATTAACGCAGACTTGCATTGCATTCAAGATCCATGCTTTATCAGTGCATTCCCTGGGAATCAAACCCGTGACCTTGGCTTTGCCACTTGCCAGTGTTTGTGCTGTTTGAGATTAATGTGTGCTGTTGCAGGCAGTTTTTGCAAAGAAAAAGTGAAACTGTTGCTCAAAGCTTAAAGGCACAGAATCTAAATATAAATACTCACTGTAATTTTCTTTGCAGAAACTATGACTTTTCTACCCAACCCAAAAATAAAGGAATAAATCACATCAAAACCAGAAAAAAAAAATGGCAAGGATGCATTTAATCTGGAAATTATGCGCTAAATTTAACCAAAATAGTTTCCAAGTAGCTTTCACAATAATTATATCCAAAATTAACTATATAAGTCACAAAGTATCTAATATATCAGCCAAGCCACAATGATCAACATCAGTCTGATAACACTGAAATTCTGGCTTTCGTTAATCAACCAAGCAAGACGTGTTGTGACATTTTTATGCTGTTTTTTGTTCTTTTTGGAGATTGGCAGCCACTATGCATTCATTGCATGGAAAACATGCAATGTTTTTTGTGTTATATGGAAGAAAGTAAGTCATGTGGGTTTTGAGAGTGAGCAAATAAAAAAAAAGCTGTATTAAATCATTTAAAATATATGTAATGTGTGTTCAAAAATATGCATCCATCGCTTTATTCATGTAATAACAGGCAGTTATTAATCAGGCAGGCAAGCAAGCGCGTGAAAACAAGCAGACAGAGAAGGAAAAGCATGCATGTCAACTCCTTCAGTTCCCAGGATGCACCTCATGAAGTTGGTCAACAGTGTTTTTTGTCTCTACATAATCCCTATTATTCCATTTGTGTTGTTTTATAGTTTGGTGATTATTCTAAAATGGGGAAACTCTTATAATAAAGAATGAGTAGATGCATCTTTTGACTGATACTGTATATAATAATAAAAAAACACCTTCAAATAAAAATAACAACATTGATTCGTTTCAGGGCTAAAGTGTGCAGTTAAAGAGTATTTCATCTTTGGAAGACACAAGAAGATATTTTGAAGAATGTTGGTTACTTCCATTGTGTGGACAGAAAATCCAATGGAAGTCAAAGGGAACCGAAGCTGTTAGGTTATTTAAAATATCTTCTTTTGTGTTTTGCATAAGAAAGAGTTGCATGCAGCTTTGGAACGACATACGGGTCTGTAAATAGTGACAGAATTTGCTTCTTATTTTTTTTAGTGGACTATCCTTTTAAATTAGCAGATCGATCTGACACTGCAGACAGTTACTCACTCACAGTTCTTCAAAACAATGATGCAACATGATGAGCCGGTGTTAATAAATCATCCACGCTATATGACTGACGCATACTTACTTTAGTCCTTCCATTTATTGAGTAGTTTCCCAGTTTTCCATTGCAATTCCTGACCAGGTCATCCATGCGACTCATCAAGAAGCAGATCTTCTCGCATCCAGGCTCCTTCCCCTCGATCCAAGTGATTTGATCCCCCTTATGTCCTTAGTAGAGTCACTTTTCTGACTCACCAGCTGTCCATCAGTGAATTTACCAGTCTGCTGGAGAGCTCTCACGTCCTCCAGTATGGACAGCCCGATGTCTTCACCCAGAAAGTTGTCCACTACACAAATGCCATGCTTGTTCATGCATGGGACTATATACTCAGTGGCCAGTTTGTGGGTTTGGGGTTTGGTGGTACTGCTGTCAGCTTCTGAGCTTCCGGTGATCAGCTGTTTTCTGTCTGGATCAGTTGTTTTCTCCAGCTGATGAGGAGTTTGTGGCACAGTCTTGGTCTTGTCAGCCTCTCTGCAGGTGAGTTTGTGTTTTTTCCAGTGCTGTTTCTGATGCTCCTTGCTGCAGTAGAAAGAGATCCGGCACCGACCGCACTTTAAAAGGGTTTCTATCTTTCCACACAGCTCGCAAAACTGTTTATCCTGGTCCGGATCCAGAACCGTAGCGCATCGGTCCATGTTCGCTTGCGGCTGGCCCTATAAATCCAGTCCTTCCACGCACAACGCGTCAGCCTCAACAACTGCAAACGAACAGCGGGGTCCGTTTCATCACACAGCAATATCCGCGCTTTCTCCGTTAAACAAACGGCTGGGTTTGGGATCGTGCCGCGCGAGCTCCATCCCGCTGCTTGCGCGCCGCGCTCCTCCTTGCTTGTGTCGGTCTGCGTTCCGCACGTCGCCAGTAAGAGCCAGACCTCTGACGTCAGTCGCCTATGGTTCAGAGCTGATAAATAGGCCCCGCCTCATTTCATTCACACACACACTGAAGGCGGGACGAGTGTGAAATTGTGTTACTGCTTTCGCGTAAAGTTGTAAAGCAGCGGTGCCCAAACTCGGTCCTGGAGGGCCGGTGTCCTGCAGAGTTTAGCTCCAACTTGCCTCAACACACCTGCCTTCAAGTTTCTAGTATGCCTAGTAAGAGCTTGATTAGCTGGTTCAGGTGTGTTTAATTGGGGTTGGAGCTAAACTCTTCAGGACACCGGCCCTCCAGGACCGAGCTTGGGCACCCCTGTACCTGAAAACCATACTTGAGTAAAAGTACAGATACCTTTACAGTGAAATTTACTCCATTAAGTTATAAACTACTGATTCCAAAACAACTTGAGAAAAAGAGCAGGCTGGCTATCTGATTAACAGTACTTAAGTATTTTACTCATACTGAATATAGGCTCAAAGATGCACTAATCAAAGAGACATCATGGCAGTGAAAATCAAGAAAGAGTTGATTTGTGAGGAGAGCAATCACGTTTATTTTCTAAAACCAAAATAAAACTGAACACTTCAAAATTGCAAAAAAAAAAAAACATCCTTCAAAAAGGTTTCTTCAGTATGACGGTTAAATAAAATTAGCGCTTCTTGCAGTGGATGTGCTGGTTTGGGCCTCATTGCCGGCTGCAGTCATGTCCTCATCTCATATATAAAACACCTCACAACTAGGAGCTCGCATTCATGTAAAGTAGCTTTGTTGGCAAGTTTGGGTGAGTAAGGGCCAAATGCACAAGATTATAGTACTTTCAGTGCCCTGTAGTTGCGATATCACTTTTTTGTAGCAGAAATAAACTGCTGGAGAAAAGCTAGGTGCCATGCAAAATGTAATGTGTAATTGCAACACTCATTACAAATGTAGTGGACAGATACTCATTCAAAAATGTAGTGAAGTAGAGAGTAAAAGTTGCTAATATCTTTGATGCACAGTAAAACAACAGAGGATCCAAAAAGATACTCAGGTACAGTAATTAATTACATTTAGCCTACTCAAATACTTTACACCTCTGATCTTAAAATGTTAATGCCTTTTTTAGTAGTAGGTGGCCTAATTAGTAAGGATTTGGAGGCTGCAGGTTTTAGTTCAGGTCAACGGGGGTCCGTACGAGCCGATTTGTTCAAATGAATCGGATTCTGTTTTATTTGTGACAAGACTTTAGATCCAATTACTTTTATTGTTTTTGCATTAAATTGAATTGTAAGCAACCTGCTAAATTAACTTAATCTAGTAGTCTATCTGATCAAAACTAGATTTATTTTCTACTTTTTATTTATTTATTATTTTGTAATTAATTAATCATGCTGATAATCCCATTGAAAAATTGTCTTTAGTTGGTTATTATGCCTGTTTATTGCACAGTTATTGAAGAACAAAAGGCTCTTTTTAATCAACATTAACAAAGACGGCAGATCTATTTTCAATGCATTGTTTTGTAATGTCATTCATGTAAATGGTATAGCAGCATACACAGGGCAAGAATGTTACTGGATGGACTAATAAGTGCTCTATAAGGTTAAAATCATCTGATAAATAGTTATATTCTCAGTTCTAGGAGAAAAGTGATCGGTCTAAATCAGGGATTTGCCAAGGTGTCCGTTGAAAAGGTGATAGAAAATAAGATTAAAGTAAATAAATGAACACTTTGATTAAAATATTAAATAATATATAATAAAATAAAATAAGAAAGAAAGAAAACAATACATCTAACAGTAAAAATATGTAACGTAATAAGGAAATATTTTCCAAATAATATTTTATACATATAATATTATTTTTAACTGGGTCTTAGTACATGAAAATATTTAGCTTCTTTTTAAATTCTGGGATGGGGGTCTCATGCATGAGGATTTAGCAATCTAAAAGATTGAAAACTCCTGGTCTAAATGGCCAAGTCACTCTATTTTTGTAAGTTGCCAAGCAAGCAAAAATGGTATGGGATTGCAATCAAATGTGCAGAAATGTCATTTGATGATTATGAATGTGTATTTTGTTGTCCACTGCCCCCTGTAGGAACATGCTGGCACTCATTCAGACAGTGAGGAGACACTGGGCCGCACGTACACAGTTGGCATGAATCCTTCAGACCAAGGTTCACAAGGAGGAACAGTAATCTGATATACTGTATGTGCAATCAAAGGAAAGCGCCTCTCAATAAGATATTATGTACTTGTGTGTGTGTGTGTGTACACACACTGTACAATTGTATAACCACAATCCTTTTTGTAAAAATATACACAAATGTTATTTGTTTATTTATTTCTGTGTAATCAGGATTGTATTTGAACCCATTATAGGATTGGTTCCACATTATGATTTTTTTTATTAACATTACTTTAAGATTGTTTGTGTGTGCGTGGGAGAGAGAGAAAATTGTGTGAAAGTTACCTTGTCTTGAGAAAGTTTAGTTATAAAATCAATTATAAAAATATGTTTACTAAATGATTTAAATTAAATTTGAGTAGATAAATACCAAGTTCTGTCATGAAACTCTAGATGGCCCAGGCTGATGGGTCCTTAACATAACTGATGATATTCTTAGCATTAAACGACTTGTCACAAGCTGATTGGTTCATGTTGCATACGCAGCCAATGAGCTTGCTGCTTTACATTTAAATGGCTGATTAGCATTCACTTGAGCATTCACTCTGAAAAATGCTGGGTTGTTTCAACCCAACTTTGGGTCAAATATGGACTAACCCAACTTTTGGGCTAAAAAAGTAATTAAAAAATGTAACCCATCAGCTGGGTTAGTCCATATTTGACCCAAAGTTGGGTTGAAACAACCCAGCATTTTTTAGAGTGTTGCAGCGCGCGTTCAGAGTTCCTCTGAAACCCTCCACCTTCCCCAGCTCCACCTGTATAGATTTGCTACGGGTTATTTTATATGCTATTACTCACAGGAGCACCATATCGGCTTATGTATTGGCGGTAGCAAGTTCCTGTACTTGCTTGCAGCAGCAGCAATAATCTACAAATACAGCAATAACCAACAGCAGCAGCGTAGCAGATCTATTCCGCCAAGACCAAATACATTAACATTGTCATATCCATTACCATGCTAAAATCTTCCAAGAGTTTTCATGATAGAAATCATTTTAAGATGACCACTTTTACAACTGGACTTTTAAAGAGTACAAAAAACGCCTCAGTACATACAAAACATAAAGCAATTCCAACATATCTAAGTCACAGCAAAATGTAAAAACTAATAAAACTAATACAATTTTTTAAAAAGACAGAAGAAAATGGCAAAATGGGTTTCATCAACAAAATATACCTCTACAAGTTTACACAACTTAAGAGTTTTTTTGTTGTTTGTGAGATTTAAAGATTTGAATAAGGAGAAATCTTAAGAAATCGGAATTGGAGTATAAAATAGTTGGCCAAAACTACAAAATTACCAAGCAAATACTCAATATCCAAATTCAGATTGAAAAAAAACATAAAAAAATAAAAAAATAATAATTTAAAAACTTATTTTATAGTTTTGAAATCAAAACCAGGCACATTTCACACTTCACCAAACATGAAGGTCATCGTATCTATCTATCTATCTATCTATCTATCTATCTATCTATCTTCTCTCTCTCTCTCTCTCTGTGTGTGTGTGTGTGTGTGTATATATACATATATATACATTAGTGTGTGTATATATATATATATATATATATATACTTTTTTTTTTAATTTGCATGAATAAAATAAATGTTCCAGTGACTATATGCGCTTAAGAAAGCTCTGTCTTTGTCTGAGGAACTCATTACAAAGATGAATGTCATTCATAATTTTAAACCAAATCTCTTTAGCCTTCGGGAAAGGGGAAAAATAGATATCTTGATCTAGCTAGCCACTTTCTCTTTGGCGAAAAAAGAAGGGATTTTTCCTTAATGGACTAAAACATTCTCGTAAGAGTCAATGGATCAAATTAAACTACGTTACCCAAAATGCCGTGCAGTGGCACGCAATTAAGACGCGCAGGTCCCGAGTAAACAATGGAGGTCCGTTCGCGTGCCAGTGTTCAAAATAAACCGAACCGCGTGCAACACGCCGTTTTTACAACGAATGCACCATTTTAAGAGCACGTTTATAAAACACGTTGTTTCTCGGTTGCATATGTGAGAAAGTACGTCATCATACAGTCGCATGTAAAAACCAATGATGAAGGCGTTCAGCGGGATTTAAACACTACAAAAACACAAGCAGCTGGTAAAACAGCAGTTTACTGTCCATCCGTGAACACACGTGTCCCTTTATAATAGAAATGAGTAAACGAGAAGGTAAAGCCTGACAGCATCTTTCACCGCAGTTTAAAATCATCTGAAGTTCATGCATCGTTTGCTCATAGATTATGATGATGGTGAGTTATGCTTTTGTTTATGTAAATATGTATGTTCCTCGCAGACGAGGGATGCGCCCGAAAACGGAAGACAGAAGCCGGCCCGAAATCCGAGGACTGCACGAGGCCGGTCTCACCTGTCATCGCTGAGCGACAGTCCTGCTGAGACAGGGGCGGATTTAGTGAATTGGGTGGGGGCCCCAGGCAAAATATAGGAATGGGGCCCTATACATTTGCACACATTTTCCTAGATCAACCTTGAGGTTCCTTTTTTGTTGTGATGCTTGCTGCTGCACAATGGTGCCCCATAGTTGTGTCCAATGTTTCTACATTTTTCATGGACATGTTATAATGGCTTTCTTTCATGTTGTAGACCACGAAATAGCAATTGATTCACATTTGAGATACAGGTTTTCACAAAAACAAAATAAATTATAAAATGATAAACCTCACAATTGAGCGTTTAAACCAGGGGTGAATCAGAAGTATAAATTATTATATTAATTTAATATATGTGGGTGGATTTTCACATTGGTCCGAACAAAAACTACAGACTGGATTATTGAAAATGAGCATTCATTCTCTGCCAATAGGAGGCGCTTTTGGAACGTCAGAAATATAGAATGAGAAAAAATATAGCCTATATTGACGAGGAAAGTTCACTGATGAGTTACCAGCGTAAGCCTGTGTGCAAAGGCCATCTAATTCTAAACTTTAAAATACATTTATTTTTAGCTATTTTAACTACAAATTTAAAT